TGTGAGTGTGTGTTTTCTGATACCTTCAGTAATTTGGTGGCCAGTTTGAGGACGTTGTTGACCAGAGTGAGTTCTTCTTTCTTATTTGGTTTCTTTTCCATTTTCAAGTACAAGTTATCTGAAACAGAAACGCAGCAGATGAAACTCTGGGATGTTTGTGTGTCTTTACAATATCATGTGTGTGTGTGTGTGTGTGTTTGTACCTGTTCTGTGAGTAAGATGGAGGTGTTGCTGTATTTCTTGCTGGTTTCTGAGCCCAGCGTGACGAATCTCAGCAGGTACAGCGACAGCGAGGCGCACCAGATCACCAGCTCCCAGTTATAGTGAAACTCCAGAAACGTCTCGTGCACGTGAAGCAGCTGCAGGAGAAACACTGCCATCAACACCGGAGTAAAACACGCTAGTCACAAGAGAAACACACGGAGTTAATCCAGCGACTGACCTGAGCGCAGCAGATGAAGACCACCGAGAGCGTGAGCAGAAACGCAGAGGAGACGATCACGTCCACCGAGCGCTGCGGACCTCGACGCTGCAGACAGAGACAGATGGGACATCATCCCAGTGTTAGCCACAGCATCAGGTCTCATAAAGGACTAAACAGAGCTCAATCAGCTGCATACCTTCAGGTAAGAGCGCAGCGACAGCCACATCTTAATGTTCTGCACCTTCTTCAGCCGGAAATGAGGGACCTCTGATTTTCTGGCTCTCCGCGCCGACGTCAAGTGACCAAACAACTTCGCAAACAGCAGCCGCTGAAAAACCAGGATCAGACAAATGCTGAGCTGTGCTCGGGACACTCCGGGCTCGGCGTGTGGATGCTGACGCACACTCACCTGCTTGTATGTCCTCTCAGCGACGCTGAGCAAGAAGAAGAAGAGCCAGATGAGACAGACGCGCACCACGAAGCTCACGCTCACCATCGCCATCACCAGAGCGTCAGCGGACGAGCCGAAGGCCACAGACACCAGCTCACCGGCCGACAGAGACGCCAGCTGCTCCGGCTCTTTGTGCTGGAACAATCTGTACGCAAACGGAGTCAAACCCAGCGTCACAGACACCAGATTCCCCAAGATCTGATAGCCGATGCCTGGAGTGTACAGATTGACCTGCGGGCGAGAGGAAGACGAGATCAGGGCTTCATGTAATCATGATTTAGCACACGCTTCTATCCAGAGACGTTCAATGCATTTCTATCAGTTCACTGCCTTCCTTCCTCTGCTTCACACTCACCCTGTTCATTATCATGCCGCTGATTTCCAGCACAGACATGTCTGCTTTTTTGCATTCGTTTCCTTCCCACACGATGGCGCTGACGCGCTCCAGGCCCGGATTAGAGCTGTGGAGCCACGGCACGTGACCCTTCACCAGCAGCAGAGCGACACACACACACACACACAAACATCATTTACACGAGCACAACAAATCTGAACCAGTGAGGCAGCAGCAGTGGATCTACGACGCACCTGATGAAACGGGTCGTCTCTGAACTCTTTCTTAGAGGCAGAACAGGCTGCGGATCCGTCGGCGTCTGTTTCGCTGCTGCAGGAGGAGCGGCACTCGGCGCAGTGCAGGAAGTCCTCCCACAGAACATCCTCCGTCTCAGACTCGTGCCGCGCGCTCTCAGAGTCCTGCGTCCGCGAGCTGCAGCTGGTGCCCGACTTCAGCGTCTCCTGAGACCAAACGAGAAGTGAAGGAGGCTGTGTTTGTGCTCCTACAGAAGCACTGATCGTGTGTGTGTGCGTGCGTGAGTGTGTGTGTGTGCGTGTTTTACCTCAGCAGTGTAATGCTTCTTGTAGGGGTGAGCTTTTCTGTTGCGCAGCGTACAGTCGCTGTTCTTGTGCTCCACTCCTCTGCGGAGGGCGCTGTAGTTCTCTGGGTCTTCTTCACTGGACGCTTCACCCGACATGTTCTCCACCGCGCGAGGAACCGCAGCCTCAGACAGACACTGACACGCACAAAACACACGTCAGTCACGCCTACACGTGTCCGTGTGTGAGTGTGTGTTCTGCAGCTCTGATTCTATTGGACTTGAGTGCTGCCTTTCATACAATAGATCATGGGATCCTCCTAAAGCATTTATCACTTTTAGTTGGGATCCGTGGGACGGTTTTAAAGTGATTCAAGTCTTCTCTTGCGAACAGAGTATTCTCGGTGAAGTATGGTGACTTTGTTTCATCTACAGCCTCTATTACCTGTGGGGTTCCTCAGGGTTCTGTTATTGGCCCTGTACTGTTTTCCTTGTACATGCTGCCTCTAGGCTCGATTTTTAATAAATATGGTATGTCTTACCATTTGTATGCCGATGATACACAACTTTATCTCCCTTTGAAACATGGAGAGAATTGTGGTTCAAATTTACTTTTGGCATGTCTGGAAGAGGTGAAGAGCTGGATGGCTCACAATTTGGTTCAGTTAAACCAAAGTAAAACAGATATTATGATTTTTGGCCCCACTAGAGGATGCCCAGACATAGCCACTTATTTATCCTTGGTCGGCCTACTGTCATGACCAAATAAGGAATTTAGGAGTTGTGTTCGATCCAGATTTGAAATTCGACAAGCAGGTTAATGCTGTGGTTAAGAGTTGTATTTCCCAGATTAGGTCTCTTGCTCGATTAAAACCAGTTTTGTCAATGAAAGATTTAGAAAAGGTTATTAAAGGGTTACTCCACCCCAAAATGAAAATTTTGTCATTAATCACTTACCCCCATGTCGTTCCAAACCCGTAAAAGCTTGTTTGTCTTCGGAACACAATTTAAGATATTTTGGATGAAAACCGGGAGGCTTGTGACTGTCCCATTGACTGCCAAGTAAATAACACTGTCAAGGCCCAGAAAAGTATGAAAGACATCATCAAAGTAGTCCATCTGCCATCAATGGTTCAATCTGAATTTCATGAAGCGACGAAAATTATTTTAATTTTCTTTGCGTACAAAAAGTAAGATTTTATTCAACGATTCATCTCCTCCGCGTCACCGTAGCACCATTTTGGAGAGTATCCACTGCGAGTGTGTGTCTGTGTGAGAGTGCGTGAGAGTGCGTGAGAGAGAGAGAGAGAGAGAGAGAGAGTGTGTGAGTGTGCATGTGTGTGAGAGAGAGAGAGAGTGTGTGTGTGTCCGTCTGTGTGTGCGCGTGTGTGCGTGCGAGTGTGTGTGCGTCTGTGTGTGAGTGAGTGCATGTGTGTGAGTGTGTGTGTGTGAGAGAGTGAGTCTGTGTGTGTGCGTGAGTGTGTGTGTGTGTGTGTGAGTGTGTGCGTGAGTGAGTGTGTGTGTACCTTGCCCGTGGGCGGCAGGATCAGCTGGTGTCTGTTGTGCTGGAGGCTCCAGTGCGTCTCGGAGCGCAGCAGGTCGCAGTGAGGATCATGCAGCTGTAAACCCTCCTCGCTGCTTTTGCTGGTGTTGCGTCCGTCCAGAGACACGTATCCATTGTCCGTCTCTGTAGACTTATCGATGGACAGCTTGGACTTTTTAGACCTGATGGGACAGCAAGGAAAAGAGCAGGTTCTACTAAAGGCTGTGTGTTTGATCAAGCGATGTGTGGAAGCGCAGCTCTAGTCCTCTACAGCAAACGCTGATGGGAGCTTGTGAATCAGTAGAAAGTGAACCGGTTTCTGGAGACAGTCACAACTGTGCTTCTGGGGAAAAAACAATTGAAACGGAGCAAATGGAATAAAATGGCTACAAAATCCCTTTATCTAGTGAGGAACCTCAAAGAGAGACTTAAAACTGCACTGCAGCGCGATGATGTGATTTCAGGAAAAGAGATGTTGTAGCCAAGAAGATTGTAAAAGGAGATATGAGAGAGAGAAATACACACCCCTCTTTAAAGATACCATGCCAGAAATCTTTGAAGAAAGCCACGAGACTGCGTGAGCCGGCAGACAGCGAGCCCTGCGGCGCCCCCTCCTGTGTGTTATCAGTAGTGCTAGAGCCGTCGCCTTCTCTATGAATGTCCAAATGAGCCGCTTTCCTCAACTTCCTTTAGCGAGAGACAGCAAAGTGCAGAAAACTTAGAAATCTTAAAACAGAGCGAACTTTGATTCCCAAAGTCAAGAGAAGCGAAAGGCCTGAAAGAGACG